ACTCTTAACACAATTTTCCAAAATCGTCGTCATGACTTCCAAAGTGAGACTACTCAATCTGCTCCTTGCTTACCTCTCCAGCTGCCTAAACCCCAGTCACAAGTGCCCTTTGTGCAGCACCCTTAAAACTCCCTGCAACCCTCTCCTAAAAGCTGCTCTCTCTGCCTGGAAACTCCAGCCCTCATCCCAACCTAATTCCCTCTTTTCTATTTCATCTCAGATTACACATTCTTTCTCAGAGAAGTATTTCCTAAATTATTCCCTAACTTCATACACCAGGTTAAAATGCCTTTAAACTACTCTACCGCACTGGGATTCTGTATTGCCCTCAAAAAAACTGAAATCAAATTCTTGTGCAGTTAATTTATTAATAGCCCTTCCCTTGCTAGTACTTAAGGTCCTGTTATTGGGAGCCATTTTATCCCCAGACTTTAGCATAATACTATTAGAAATTCAAATTTTGATTAACTAACAAGTGAACATTTAGACTGAAGGGACAATTGTTGAAATTATAAGTCGAGGTAGAGATATTCTATTTTTTAAAAACTAGATATATATATTTAATACGTACAGACACACAATTTGTGCTATGTAGGTACCAAATTGAATTCTGAAGATAGAAAAATGTGCTTTTTCTTTCTGTTCTGCCTTTAGTACCCTGTCTTCCCAAACCATGATTATTTAGACTTTGCTTTTTATATAGCATCCTCTTGGCTGTCCCTCTCCGCCAGTCCCCACCAGAATTTTATCTTACCAAGTCACCCTCAACTTATCTTTTAACTTTCAACTTATTGTTACTTTCTGTTGCTTTCCCACCTAATTTCCAGGTGTTTATTACCCCTGTACTATATTCCAATAACACCAATAACACCTCATATACATTCTGTTATTATAATTGCATTGTTGAATTAGTATTATCTGCCTTTATGCACCCTCCCCCGCAATACCAACTAGTAGAACGTGAGATTCCAGAGTGCAAGAGCCACATATAACACTTGTCTTTATTTCCTTAAGAAATAACAAGTGTCCAAATGATTGTTGAATGAATGAAAGAATTTTACTATGATTTCTTCAATTTTAAGAGGAAGAGAGGACCATAATGAATAACTGATTATATTAGTTTTTATTTTACTTTAAAAACATGCTTATCACATTTTTATTATAAACATTTTTATAACTTATTTGTACTTTAGTTTTTTTCTTACAACTTTCTTGTTGGTGAACATTGAGTTCCAGAGTTCTTTTGTGGGGTTAATTAGATTCATTCTTCATAAATAAACACTTGAGTGCTAAAATATAGTTACTATTTTTAAGATAATCCACTAGAGATTTTCATATTTGACTCATGGTTTTACAACACTACACTATCTGCTTTGACGCATATATAGGCAGCATCATTATCTTTTATGTTGAGAGCAGTAATATTTTGACTTATTAGTCATTTACATTTTCAACTTTTTCATTACTGTTCATAAAGAAAAAGTTTAAATTTTTATATTAGGGAATTATATAGGCCTCCTTTTTCATCTTATCATGTCTTACCCCAATGTTATAACAATTAATAATTGAAGACTATGTTTGTACAACTACACAGAAAAAGAAAAGAAATTGAATTACAATGTGAAAATACCTATTTTTTTTCTGTTCGATAAGTAATTTTGTTTTTTATAATGTTCCCTGATAGCTGTAATGAAAGTCAGTACTTGCATCTTTAGTTTTGAAGATAGGGTATGAAAGAAAGCCTATTATCTAGTAGATCTCAGCCTTTTTCCAACAGCGCCCGTTTAAGTGAATCAAAAGACTCCAGAGGTCCATGTGCCTTGACATTTTCTCATAGAAAAAATATTATGTGGTAATAAAGGCATAGAAGAAAACAATACTGTAATAATGATAATAAAACAATTATACAAGTGCATAATGCTTAACAAAGTAAAACAATAGTAATTCCACAAATAGATTCATTTTTATAAGAATAGCGTAGGTGGGAAACTACAACAAATGCAAGACTCTATGGATGGTGGATGTGGCATCTGTCACCCCACTGATCTCCAGGGTTGATTCGGCTGATCTGGCTGTCTAGGCAGGTGTTCCCTTCCTCCCTCACCGCTCCACGTGCATCCCTTCCAAAGCTGCTCGCTTGGTTGAAGAGGATGACCTTTCCCAATAGAGGAGGACCATTCTTCAGTCAAGGGTATATGAGTAGGTACGCTCCCCTGCTAGAACCTCCAATCAAGCTCTCAAGGTCCATTTGTAGGAGAACATAGGGTAGTCAAGCTTCCAAGACTCTAGACATGTCCAAATGAGGTGCTGTATATGGCAGTCTGCCTTTCTATAAAAAAAAAAAAAAAAAAAGACTCTATGAGTGGTGCATTGATTAAAAGAATATCCCTTTGGAAAATTATAGGAATTCCAGCTATCTGGATACTCACGTGCACAGGAGTTTTGCAACATTGCCAAGCAGTTGTATCAGGTGTTCAGACTTACTGATGGAATATTGAATTTGAATACTTCATGAGTACTAGCATTTCACCAATTTAATTAATGAATACTGAATTTTATAAATCATTAATTGATTTAGTAGATTACCAGTAAGTAGCCCTAAATTATATGTAATGATTAAATGTATGGATTATAATCACATTTACGTCACTTTGTGACCACTTAAAAGTACTTTCATGATCCATCAGTGGGTCTACATTGACTTTGTTACACACTTATCCTTGAACCTTACAGTCTATTCCATTTGGTCTTACAAGTATCTCAGGTTTTCAGGTCCTGACCATAATTTACAAATTCAAAAATTTAGTGCAAGTGTTTTTCTTTTTTTTTATTTTAAGCGTTTCTAAAAAGTACCAATTAACTATATAATAATACTTTAACATATTCTTCTTGTAATACATTAATATTCTTCTTGTAAAATTTAAACATTGCAGAAAAGGATTTGTTTTTTGATTTCCATCGTTCAGATTTTGTTCTGTGTGTTTAAACATATACACACATATATATATAAATGTAAAATATTTACATATAATATTTATTTTTCATAGATAACATGTTTATATGCTACTCAAGTTGTGTGTTTATATTTCACAAATAACATGCCTATATATATTAGCATATAAATAATTTTTATACTTGCATTTATTTTAACTCAATATTACATGTTGAAGATTAACGTTAACAATATTGTTCTCCTTCATACTTTTAAACTGTTGATTAATATTCCATAGTATTTATATACACGAGCAGTTTTCCACAGTCATAGCCCATTTTGTTTTCTATTATAAGCAAGCTAGAATGAACATCTTTGAACATATCTCTTTCATAACAGTGGGATTATTTTTTTATGGTTGATAGTGATAAGAGAAATCTCTGTCTTATACAGTCTTCACATTTCAGAGTTTAATAGACACTAGTAATTTACTCTACATAGGAAGTATGCAAATATACACATTCAGTAGTAGTTTATGATGGTCATATACATTTTTACAAATCTTTGCCAACACTTTGTTATTAAACTATTTTTATGTTTTTGTTTTTGTTTTTCTGTTGTACTTGGGCCTCTCACTGTTGTGGCCTCTCCCTTTGCGGAGCACAGGCTCCGGACACGCAGGCTCAGTGGCCATGGCTCACGGGCCCAGCCGCTCCATGGCATTTGGGGTCTTCCTGGACCGGGGCACGAACCCGTGTCCCCTGCATCAGCAGGTGGACTCTCAACCACTGCGCCACCAGGGAAGCCCTATTTTTATGTTTTTAAATTAGGATTTTTCTATATACTTGAGAATGTGATTGTTAACAATTTAGTTATTCCAATTTCTCCCATTTATTCATGTTTCTTTAACATTCAATACTGCTACAAACATTTATTAAGCATCCCTGAGTAGATAGTGATGACCTATTTGACTAAGAGTTTTTGTTGTGCCCCTTATAGCTTTCTGGATATCCATTAGGAAGATAGCCTTACAAAGAGAGGACCTTTCTGTTCGGGATCCTAAGTTCTGTATTAGACTGTGTTAAAAATAGAAAAAGAAAAGAAAAGAAAATTTTCTAAATAATGACACTATTATATATTTAAGTAGTAATAGAGCAGGCTAAAGTCAGGAAAGATCCATGCCAAGCCATTAACAATCTCTGGGAAGTGGGAATATATAGAGACAAAAGAAGAGATATTGATGACTTTTGCATTGCATACCTATATCTGTATTGTGTAAATGTTTTATAATCTTATTTTAGTCTATTAGTTTAAAAATGATAAAGGACATGAAAAATTGGGAAATTACACTTACTTTTTTTTTTAAGTTCCCCAGGCCTTCCTTATAAGCTAATATATATTCCTGTCTTCTTATTACCTAGAGCTATCAAATGTGGTCAAGTAATTATAGGGTATTAGTCTATCTCTTTTAACATCTTTGGATTGTTGACAATTTGAAAAATTCTTGTAGAATATACTTGAAAAGGCAGCACGTACTTTCAGAAAAGGAAAGCGCTAGAAACTAAGCAATAGTTTGCTACCTAGTACATTGGGAACAAAATCTCTTACTTAGTAAGAAGATGAAGAGCACTTTGAAAAGCAGGGATTTTATTTGGAATTACATTTTCACAGAGTTTAGCAGCCAGTGAGTATTCGTTGTGAACTAAGTGCTAAACTAGGCATAATGGAAAATTTGTACTGGCCTCTGTCAGCATCCAATTTAGAAACGCATAGAGAAAAGTCATAGGGCAAACCTTAGACTTAACCACCCAGATCAGTAAACTAAAAACAATTTCTAGAAGTTAGATTCCTCAAGAGGAGCTTCCTAAAGGCATGAATTTCAAGTTAGGTATTGAAGAAAATAATGGATTAGCAGAAAAACTTAAGGAATGTATACCAAGTAAAGATGGGGTTTAATAACTTTCTTGCCTCAATGATTAAAACATATGCAAAAACAATTGTCCAAAGAAACCAATAAAATTACTTATTTAAGATCTCTTTCCTTTTTGTTCTGTTTTCAAAATTGTAGTTGAAATCTGGAGAGACAGCTGCAAACATTGCTAGAGAACTGGCTGAACAGACCAGAAATCATCTGAATGCTGGAGATATCACTTATTCAGTCCGGGCCATGGATCAGCTGGTAGGCCTCCTAGATGTACAGCTCCGGAACTTGACCCCAGGTGGAAAAGATAGTGCTGCACGAAGTTTGAACAAGGTAAGGACCTTTGTTACAGGTATCTTTAAAGTTGTAAAATCAGTGAGACTTCCCTGATTAATTTCTTTCTTTCCATAAAATCAGATCATTCTAAAGAGAATTGCTAGCTATATTCAATTCACTTCACTATTGCAGTATAATAATGACCTTATTTGACTTTCAGTCTAAGGAACAATAAATGAGATCTCTCTATATGTATTTTGAATTTACAATTCTATTTTCCATAGTACTTTTTTGTATGCTAAATTCGGACAGGGTTGCTGTAGATAAATGCCATTTCTTTTGGGTTTTTTTCCCTTTCAAATCTTTATATTAATATAATTAACAGTAAAACAAATGTCTAATCAACAAGCAGAAATTTAGAAAAATAACAATGAAAAAGGATATTAGTAATACATCATAGATTTTTTTAAAAAAATAATTTAACCTAATTAATATTACATTAAAAAACTCATAGGGCAAGTATTTGTTTTAATTTTTATTTCCTTTTGATTTTTAAATTACTGATTTTGTATCATTACCATTATAACTTAAAAGGTTTAAATGTGTTTCAGCAACTTTGAATTGTAACTAATAAAAATAATTTATTTTTTAAATTTTAAGGAATTTTATGTATTTTAATTTATATTTATAAATCTATATATTTATACACATTATATACTCATATATAAGCATTTTATATATAATCTATACACATATAAGCATTTTATTTACATAAGTATGTAAAATATATTTAATATATTTATAAAGAATATCATTTATTTATGTAACAAAATATCACATGGTGAAAAGATACTAGAATGCTGCCATCAGATAACATGTATTCCCTGAATGGCATTATTGTAGTAAAGATAATTGGTTATTGAAACTTGATTTTAAGGTCTCAAATATCAGTGATAATCTTATTACTTAAAAAAGCAAGAATTTGGTAGTGACCCTCTAATGTCCTGTATGAAATTCACTAAATGAACATTCCCCTTTAGAATGAAAAAATAACTTTGCAGACTGGTCTTTATTATATTTATTTCTTTTCTGTCTTATTAGACTAGGAATCTCACTCATGAGATGGAAGAAACTTTTTTAAATAATAATGGTTCGACATTAAAAAGCTAGATATTTTATCTGTCAGTTTTTCCTGCAATTTCATCCTCAGAAAATAGATTCAGTTTTATCAATTAGATATAAATTATTACTAAAGTTTTTTTCATGCTGAGCAAAAAGGAGTTATTTTTGTCATTCATATTCCTGATAGAATCTCAACCAAGCCGCTGGCAGAATATAATCCACAGCTGCCTATGTAGTCTGGGCATGCTGTGATTTTAATGTGTTATTACCCAGGCTGACTGGAGGCTATTCATGAATATTGCTGCCAGCTACTGTTATCATAATGTACTGGATGTAGTAATTTCTATTAATGTTACGTATCCATACCATTACTTGTTATAGCAATACTTTGTATCTTTATTTAAAAATGGTGTCGATGTCTGACAATATCAGTTAAAGCTGGCAATTAATGTCACATTCTAACTAGCTACAGCTAATCAGCTTGCCTAGTCTGAATATCAAATAACTGCATAATAGACAGATTTTCATTTGTGAAGCTTTTTAATGCTCTCTTTTGTTTCTTATTTGGCTCTTTTCAGCTGTTTATATACCGTGGTTTGTTATATGTTAATTTGCATGATGGGGTAAGAAGATGGGAGGGCAGAGGTTATTCACATGCTTCCTGGCTTGCTCTCATTTCCTGTGGTTCCCACTGTTCCCTGAAGAAGTTTTAACCCATCACATATGCAAAGTCAACTTGGTACAAATCAGTTGCGATCCACGTTGAAATTCTGGAGGGTTTAGAGACCTGCTAAACCAAAATGAGAGTCAGTGATCCAAATGACAGTGCTGACAATTTACTTGCACTTATTCCTCACTTAATTCTTTAGAGGAGTAACTGCTCTATGCTCACTGAAGAATGCATGAATTAAAGTGGGAGAGTATTAGCCACACAAAAGGCATCAGAGTAACTGCTTCTTAAAACTGGGTAATTTTCTCCTTGAACAATCGAGGCTCCTGAAGGAAAATAATAGGGAAAAGGAGGAAAACTACAATCTAATTTATAAAATTTGCAGCCATTTATTTAAACAGAGCAAATATATGTATTAATTATTCATTTTATCACCAGGAAAAAATGTTTGGGACTGAGTATGAGTTGCTGTTAACCTTTTGCCCAGAAAAACATCATTCTGTATGCAAACAAAGAAACACACAGAAACAGGCTTCTTATCCCACAGAAGTTTCTAAAATGTATAAAATTTTTGGTCAAAACCATCAAAAGGAATTCTTCAAGAAATAAAAACAAGATAAATCACAATATTGATTGCATTCTTTTAATCAGAAGTTACTTATCTCTTGGTATTTGTCCCTTAGAATCAAATAGTCAAATGAATGGGCATTTCTATTTTCTCAGTAAATAGAACTTTTTGTATGTATGAACAAATGGTTTGTGGGACACATTAACCACCTAAAAATCTGTAAACCACAGACAATTTACTATCTTTAAAAAATGGGTTCCAAATTTTTGACATAATTTACTTAACTTCATAGATCTTCATTTGTGGCCCATGAATTAATAACTAACCTCATGTGAAATGAATCATGTCAAATGAATGAATTATACTGATTTTTACTAATTTCTACTAAATTTAGTCTAAGATTTCTTTCCATCATTAACAGCTTTATACCATCCAGTTATCACTTGGGTTCTGAAAAGCTGTTAGTTACTATTTTTCAAGCTGTTGCTGACATTTTGCTGCTGCTTAGCTTTCATTCTCTTCTTGAAAGTAGTGCACAACAAAATAAGGTGTTTGTGTAGATGTGTTCTTTTATTTTTCTTGTTTTCTTCTGTCACTAACTTGTTTTTTCTATTCTGTGTTTAATCTGCTGTCTTAATGGATTCAGCTTCAGAAAAGAGAGCGCTCTTGCAGAGCCTATGTCCAGGTACTTTCTGCGTTTTTATAAATGTGTTAAGTTGTTGAATTGTCTCTGTTGGTGATAGCATGTATGGGCATCCGATAGAAAGATGATAATGTATCCTGTTGAACTAGAAGAATTTCAGGGAGGGCATGGAGGGTGGGAATGGAAAGTTATATGAAAGGGTATGTGCTAAAAAGAAATTTGACAGTGCCAGTGCTCTATCATACAAGAGGAGCACAGACTAGCATAGAGGTGCAACTTTGGGTGTGAGAATTTTGATCATCACTGAAAGGTGAGTTGGGTGTAATATATAATAAATCTCTAATTTCTTCAGAGAGGTGGGTATGAAAACATTTCACTCCTATGTTGGTCTAGCTAATATTTGAGTAGCAAGTCAACCAGAAATGACACTCAATCAAATAAGACAACAATTCCAGGATACTTGGAATATCATGCTTCTGTGCCAAATTAATCAAGACAAGCTGTGACGATCTTACTCTTCCACTTATTATAAACACATGAATCTGAATGTAAGTGTAATTTTTCCTCCAGTTAACATGTTGTAATTTGTTTCTAAGCAAGATAAAAAACATTTCTACTGTTTATGAATTCTTTGTGAAAAAGAATCCCAGAAGCAAGCTTCATAGTTATTTTTAGAATAAGGGAAAGAAGGGAGGGGAGGGGAGAAGACAAGAGGAGAGGAGAGAAGGGAAGGGAAGGGGAGGGGAGGAGGGAGGAACAAAGGCAGGCAAGGTCAAATGACAAAGCTATTTAGTAATGACTTTGATGTGCTTTATTCAAGGGAAAACAATCCATGGGTTGAGGCAGTAAGTGCCTCACCATCAGTGGTGCACTCTCCCTGAGGGATGTTGGACAAGAGTGAGTTTTATAGAGACAACTCTAAGCAGGGCGCAATTGGCAAGGAGGTTGGGGATTTCCTTATAAGGCTAGCAGGTCCTGTTTTCTAGGGTAAGGTGAGCTAGCTAACTCTGAGTTGGAGGATTGTGATCAGTGTATGTGAGGTTTCCTTGACAGTCATTTCCCGTAAGTACAGATTTAGATTTGTGATGTGGACCAGGCAACTGGGGTGGCCCCCATTTTGTGTGTCCCAAAATACAAAGTAACTTTATCAGAAGGAAGAAAAAATATGAAACTGTGTGACTGTCAACTTTATTCCCTATGTGTATATATCATAGCATTTTTAAGGGGAAGGCCAACTACACTTATGAAGAGAGATACCTTCAATACCCAAATGACTAATTCTCAGATAAGTAGTCCAGAAAGTACACAGTATCAGTTTATTCACAATAAGGGCATTTTGTGAGACAGTCATTTAAAAGGAAAAAAATAATTTGAACATTGAACAGAGATTAGGAAGAAAAGGTTTTAATTTGCATTTAACTTTATAAATTAATGAATCTTTGTATATAAGAAGCTGTTCAGGTTTATTTTTCTAAGGTTTTGGGAAAGAAATTGCTTGGGGGCGGGTTTATGTATATATATTGCTTAGTGTGTGCCATAGACAGAGAAATGAAGTACTCTTCAGCATTGAAAGCTGAGGATCTTTTTTTTTTTTTTTTTTTTTTTTTTGCGGTACGTGGGCCTCTCACTGTTGTGGCCTCTCCCGCTGCGGAGCACAGGCTCCGGACCCGCAGGCTCAGCGGCCATGGCTCACGGGCCCAGCTGCTCCACGGCATGTGGGATCTTCCCCGACCGGGGCACGAACCCACGTCCCCTGCATCGGCAGGTGGACTCTCAACCACTGCGCCACCAGGGAAGCCCCTGAGGATCATTTTTGAGCAATATTAGGATTGTTTTTTATTGTAATCTATGCTATCCCTTTAATGGGGCCTTGGAGATAATTAGCCTTTCAGTATTTAAATCTATGAAATGCATGGTCATTCAAACGTGAATCTCTGATGGAAAATTAATAGCACAGTTTATTCAGTAGCTGATTTCCTGGTGTTGTAATTGACTGGCTATGAATAAATGTTTCAGCTATTGACTAAACATCTGTTAAGACCAAATACAAACAGAATATTGGTGAAGCAGAAATGCTGTGCTCACTATAACACAGCATTATTTCTATTCCTTTTATTGTAGGTCATTATTCTATGAAATTCTAGAGTGATTAATATCTTAAACTTTAGTCTATTTGAATTTTAAAGGCTTATGTTCCCTATTATTTCTATGTTCAGAGCACATTCTGAGCTACCTATGAAATAGGTATGAAATACATTTGAAATATTTTATGCATTAAATTTGAAAAAAGATAATTATTTAGTTATCACAAGATTCTTAAAAAAAAAAAAAAATTTCCTTTCCATGGGCACAAGCAGTGATTCTCCTAGGTTTGATTTTGACCATCTAAACACATTTAGCTTTTATTTTTTTAGAAATGCAGTGTCTATTTTATGAATTATCTAGATCTATTTTTTACTTCTTGCTTCCCACTTTTTATTCCACAAAAAAAAAAAAAAAAAAAGTGAAATCTGGACTGTCAGCCATCAGCTATGAAAACTCATCTATAGGTGAACAATTAAAAGATAATTGCTCTGATTTTTTTAAATAATATGTGAATCTCCTAAAACCCATTATTCTTTTGTCTCAAGGATTTTAACAAAATCAAAAAATTGGGTCAAATATATTTTATTTTTCTTTATTTAGTTGTAATTTTAGATTACATTAAAATCCTTGTTGACTATCAAAATATAGATATTGGCATATCATAGTAAAAATAGCATTATCATATTGCGGGCATAACACATACCTTCATTTAGGAGAGGGTTTTAAGTTTTATGCCAGAGATAACAAATAAGGTTTGTGTTACATTTGCATATTAAGTAGCTACCATGATATAATATTACCAGGAGGGACCTTAGAGATGAAGATGAGTGAGTTGAGATCTGGAGAGATGAAATGACTGGACCAAGGTCACACAACTAGCACCAATGGCACTAATGCTGCTGTCCTGATGTGCATCCAGTGCTTCTTCAACACCATGACTAAGAATAGGGCTTCCCTGGTGGCACAGTGGTTGAGAGTCTGCCTGCCGATGCAGGGGACACGGGTTCATGCCCCAGTCCGGGAAAATACCACATGCCGCAGAGCGGCTAGGCCCGTGAACCATGGCCGCTGGGCCTGCGCGTCTGGAGCCTGTGCTCCTCAACGAGAGAGGCCACAACGGTGAGAGGCCTGCGTACCGCAAGAAAAAAAAAAGAATAACAGTGATTTATTATGAAGAATAAATATGTTCATTAGGCACTGTGGCCATAATTGTACAAAGCATTTTGCATAAATTCTTACTTAATGTTCAAAACAACCCTATGATATAAGTTATTGCTATTCTTAACTTAGAGAAAATGTGGCACAGGAAGCATTAAATGACTTTCACAAAATTGCACAGTAATAATTGAGGGGCTCCTGAATTCAAAGTTAGGTCTTCCTGATTCAGAAACTCATGCTCTCATTCGCCAAAATAATGTGATTGCGAAACTGACATTATTTGATGTTAGCAGTCAAGATATATTATTTGGTTTATATTTATTGATTTATGGTACTGTATTTCAGGAATGGTATAAAGTATAACAATTTTTTTTTAATTTCTCCTTTTTTTGAGATTGAGTTCAAATTGCTGTGTGGTGATTATTTTGTACTCCTATAGCCAGGTCAAATACAAACATAATTTACTTTGAGGTCATTTGGTTTTCAGAGGAGACTATGATTTAAAAATTATCATATTGAGAGAAGAAAAAAGCAAGTAGAAAATATTCTAACTCTATGTTAAAGGAGGAACAGTCAAACTGTTTTCCAAAGTGACCACACCATTTTACATTTCCACCAGCAATACGTGAGGGTTCCAATTTCTCCACATCTACGGCAGCACTGTTATTTTCTCTTTTTGATTATAACCATCCGAGTACATGTGAATTGCATGAGTTCTTAACTCTAGTGGAATGGGGGCAGGGGAAGTTTTAGGAGGGTAATCCATGAACGAATAAAAAAATTATATGGCTCCAAAGAGAGGTCTGTGTTTTCATGAGAGCCTGAGAGTAGAATGTGACCTCAAATAGCTTAAGAACAACTGCCTTCATGTTCTATAAATGTAACCAGAACTTATATTTATATTTTTTTCTCATTTTTCAATCCCAAGTTCCCATCTTTTAAATAGTAATGTTTGTTAACATTGTTCTTCTCTTTAGCAGGAACTATTAAAAATTACTAGTGTTCATTTTTTACTGCTTTAAAAGCAGGACATTTTCCTAGTTAAGAAATATATTTTGAAATTTATCAGCAGTTTCTGTTGTCCTCCAAATCTCAGAGGTGGCACGGACTCCCTAGAGTCTGCAGTCGATCTTACGTAATGGGAAATATAAGTACATACCGTTTTTGATGTGAATCTTTTGAGTCATTCTTTGGAACCTACTATTATTTGCATAGTCGGGCTGAGAACTGATCAGAAAAAATTGGTAAATAGATGCAAATTTTTTTAAAAAGATACATATACATGCATACCTGGTTTCCTCCCTTCTTTCCATCCTTACTTAAATTTTTCTTTCCTTTTTTTTCAAAGGCAGATAGTCTATGTGTTCTTTAAATCTTACCAAGTATTTGTAATAAGCTCTCTTTTTATTTCAGTTTGGAATTATAGTTTGCTTTTTTTTATTTTATTTATTTATTTTGTTTGTTTCACCTTCATTATCCACTAGAAATCTGTATCCTAGGTACCAAAAGTGTGAAAGCAATCTCTATCTTCAAAACTATGTAAAAAACATCACATAGTAGTTAACGACAAAAACATTCAAGAATTACTAGTTCAGGGCTTCCCTGGTGGCGCAGTGGTTGGGAGTCCACCTGCCGATGCAGGGGACGCGGGTTCGTGCCCCGGTCCGGGAGGATCCCGCGTGTCGCGGGGCGGCTGGGCCCACGGGACATGGCCGCTGGGCCTGCGCGTCCGGGGCCTGTGCTCCGCAGCGGGAGGGGCCACAACAGTGAGAGGCCCGCGTACTGCAAAAACAAACAAA